TATCATTTTTGTTTGTGTAGTGTATGTTTAAAATGTTTTGTATAACAGGTCTTTTTTTCAAATGAGACAAACCGTAAGGGTAAAATTATTGAAATGATGTATGCAAATTCTATTTTACAAACCTGCAAAGCTGCTGTCAGTTTTACATCATGTGGTTATTTACATAGAATTATCATGTCTTTTTGCAAATGCAGTTAGTGCCAAAAGCAACAAGGAGTGTCACATGACATTCAGCCAGAATAAAGGTGTAATATGAAAATGATGGCAGTGTGAAGATCTATAAAATACTGCTTGCATACCTTTTACAACATTGGTGATCCAGGAGTTGTTTTAAGATGCCAGCTGCAATTCAGTTCAATTCAGTTTATTTATGTAGCACCAATTCACAACAAAGTTGTCTCAGAGCACTGCACAGATACATTCACATACATAGAAAAGCCAGTTAGTAAAGCTATCTATCTAAGAAAGCCAGCAGACTCGTTGAATCTTCACTTCGTCACAGTCTCCCATCCTGAGCAAGCACAAAGGCAACAGTGGAAAGGAAAAACTCCTTTTCAAAATGAAGAAACCTGCAGCAGCACCAGGTTCAGGGCAAGCAGTCATCTGCTTCGACCGGCTTGGTAGGTCCAGATGTAGGTGCAGGTGTACCTCCTGTTGGAAGAAAGACAAAAACACATGTCTAGGATAGAAATAATTATTACAAATATAAAACAGGTTGAGCAGAGCAGAGTGAAGAAATGTGGTCAGTTTGTCCTTCAGCAGTCTAAGCCTATAGCAGTATAACTAAGGGATAGCTCAGGAAACCCAACCCTAACTTTGTTAGTTCACTTTGTGTGCTTAATATGGTTAAAATTAAACTTCTTCAAACTGTTTTTTTTTTTTTCAAAAGAGCCATCAAGAAATTAAATGTTTTAAAACCTTTCCACAAACCGCTGCTTTAAAATATCAGAACTGTGCTTTTATACAGCATTTACTTCAATACTTTTGTGGTTTTGAGGTGTAACTCGTTGGATTTAAAATATGGCATGTTAATAGATGAAGTTACAGAAAATTTTGAAAGGGAAACAACATGATCCCTAAAAATGGCCAAATAAAATAACTCCCTCTTGTTCCATTTCTGAGAAAAACAGGACAGTCTGTTTAAAACGTGCATATTTCATAACAGATGTGGCAACTGAAGTCAGTAAACAATCTGTCACGGTTTATTGAATAGACTACATTGCCATCTGCTGATCCATTTGGGGAAAAGCATCATCTGTTGAAGATATTTTTAATGCTTTAATTCATGATAAACTAAAACAGCATATAGAGCACTGTACTGCTAATCAGATTTTTTTGTCATATGACAACAACCTCAAAAGTATGCACAAGAAACCTGCCCAATTTGTCATTAATGTTGAGCAAAATCAATTATAAACTCACATTTCTAAAACAGTTTATGAGCATGCAGACATTAACTGGGAATAGTTTTGATTTTGACAAGAACATGTCACACAAATCAAAAGTTTTAAATCTATTTTATTGGGTTATCCAAGTCCAACAACCTTAATACAGTCTTGTTTTCTGTGTTAGCATCAGGTTTTCTGGGTGATTTGTTTTCCCACAGAAACCATCATTAAGTACAGAAAATAAATCAGCAATCTTTCTTTCTTTATCCATTTTCAGCAACAAATGTTTAAACCTTAAAAGCTTTGGGTGAATGTATCCCTTGTTTTTTCAGCAGTATATAAAAGTTATAATAAATGAAGCTGTTTTCACCTAAAGGTATGCTTACATTAATGAGGAAATAAAACTTGAGATTTGTTAAAGCTTCTGAAGTTTATCAGTAAGTACAAGACAAAAAGACATTCTTCATGTTTTCAAGACTGACCAAAAAAAAAAAAAACATTCATAACATAAAATTTACTTTTTTTTCTAGTAGTCCTCTTGTGCTTTTTAGGGTTTCCACATAAACAGAAATAATGTTGCAACTAAATCTTTTCTCACTCTTTCTATTCTAAATAATTTCTTCTTTGCTTTTGTGTTTGCAGAAAAACGTTTTTCTATGATTTTTGGAAATGTTGTACTGTTCGTCGTGTTCTTAAACGACCCTCTTCTCTCTCTCCAGCCCGACATCAAACAGACGCCACTAGAGCATAGTTTCTGCATCTGGTTTCATAAAGGATGGCGAGAGCAAAACGAAGGAGGCGGTTTGCAAACGTGACAAACACATGTACGCATGAGAAGGAGGAAAGCAGCCCACAGACAGACTTATCAGACAGCAAAAGCATCTTCATAATGCAAACCAGGGTTGTGAATTATAAAGTTGCACTTCTTGATTTAGTGAAAGCAATTGTTTCAATCTGACTCCAACTTGTCTAACAAGTCTTCTGTGGATTGCCCAACCTCCTGCTCAGGGTAATACTTGTTGGCAAAAAGAGCACTTGGCCCAGGCGTTGATGGCTGACATCAGTTCCAGCTTACAGCTGCTCTCAGGCTCAGCTCCCAACACCGGGGGGTCAGGCTCACTGCGGTGGCTCAGGCTGCTGTCAGGCAGCAGGAGGCGAGCGTCACTGTCAGGTCTCCCTAACGTTGTTGGCTGCCTCGCTCAGGTCGTGTCACTGTCAGGAGGCGGGCAGCGCCTCATCACAGTGTCAGAGGCCCAGCGGCTGCTCGCTGCCTGCATCACCAAACAGCTTGCGTCAGTGTCAGCATCAACTGGCCTTGGGAGCGGCTTCGTTCTCAGAGCCTGATGTCCACTGTCAGCTGTACTTTGATTTTCACCTAGCCTTCCCTGACTCTCAAGGTCTAACGGGGGCTCCATCGGCCTCCTGAAGCATCTGCTGTGTGAGCACTGCTTGCTGCATGTGATCTGCCTCCAAGTGATGCTGGGTTTGAGATAGCCCAGCTTCGTGTTGATCGTTCCCCTGTGGTCTAACATGTTGCTGACTTTGTAAATGATCAGAACTATGGGCAACGCCGTCATGGTTTCTATGACGATGACCATGGTTGTGATCAAGGCCATGGCCGTGGCCGTGGCCGTGGTAATGGCCGAAGGCACGTGAAAGGCCCCGGTCATGATGACGCTGACCATGATGATGAACGTGAACATGAACTTGTTCAGTGTTGTCTCCTACAGGTGGGATAGCATCTGCATCAGGCTGTGCAGCTGTGTTTGTGCACTCCGCAGCAGGTTCAGTGTTCTGTAAATCAATTATAAAAGACAGCCATGGGAGGTTTTATGTTCCATTAAACATGTTATCAACACTTCATCTGATGGTTCATATTAGAAAAGGTTCACATTATCTCAAAGTTGCATGGTCTATACCTCATGTGAGCACTCTCCACATATGCGATTGCAGTAGGTGTCTTTGATTGCACGCTCAACGTGTCCATGTCCAATGACTGAATATGGAAGTGATATGTGGTGAGTGAGGCGGCCGCACCTGATGGCAAAAACACAGAAACGTGGTTAAAGATGACATAAGAATCTGACAAATAAAGAGGTCAGTGTAGCAGTTATGTATTTCCCCCTGCAAAGCGTGAACGTAACACCAAAAACAAACCTGTCATAAATGAAAAAGTCGTCTTTATTCCCATTGAGCGTCTGCCAAACATCAGGCTGTTGCTCGCTCTGCTTGTAGAGTGCGATGTTCTCTGAAAGTCTTTGTGCCAACAGTGGGTGGAGCTGCTGTGCTTTCTCCACACGGTCGTTTATTACCATGTAGACCACGTCCTTCAGGCCCTGATTTTCTAGCTTCTGGCGCAGGCCATCCATTCTGCTCAGAAAAGATGGACAAGAAACCATGCTGACAAAATTAGTTTTAATGGAGCAAATTTATCACCAGTGTTTGCTGTGTTGTTGTCACATGAGTGGCAATCGGGACACTATCTGTTAATAATGAACTCCTTCCTAAAAAGGGATTTACAGAAGATCTTTGAATATGCTTGTGTAATATATACAAAAAGTGCAGGAAAAGAGTTACAAGCAAACCATTCTACACCTTGAGGCCTGCACCAAGCAGAACAGTCAGCTGGCCTGTAAAAGGGCCACAACCGTCACTCGACCCATTGACCCCTTCATGGGCTCCACCTCCCCTATGGTCCATGGAGGGGGTAGCTGACATCCAGGCCCACCCCCATCACTCTCTGCACCGCCCCCATGGAGCAGGCAGAGAGTGAGGAGCAGGCCGAGGCGGCGCACCCACATCGCTGTGGCGCCTCCCTACTGCCCCAGTCTGCAGAGCAGAAACAGGAATGGAGGGTGGGAAGGGGGTGAAGTAGAGGAACAGAAAGCAGAAGTTGATTTAAAAAAAAGGGAAAGAAAAGTGTCAAATAAAACTTTTTGTGAACATCCACTGAATTGCTCAATGATTTTTGTATATTTAAAAACCTTGAAATGCACAAAGTGGTATATATTTCTGAAACAGTACCTGAATAATAAGTGTTTAATGCAAATGTCTTGATTTGCTTTATTATATATACGACGCAAAGTAAAGTTTATTAATACAGAAGTCAATTAGAGGCTCAAAAGAGTGAACAAATGAATATAATGCGTGAACAAAAGACCATTTCTACCAAACAAATGTACTTGCGTTATGAAATCTGACACGTTATTATTAATATGCATCATGAATTTAAAATAAACTGTGTTTTTGTGAAGAATTCTGCAACTTACCCTTTGTAAAAATAAAAAAAAAAACGTGCCCCTCACTGTGAAAGCTCTGCTTCGACTCAGCTCCTTGAACAAAAACAAGCCTCTTCCTCAGCTGCTCCCCCTTTTTATACTCAGCCTGTTGTTTTTCTGTCGGGATGGAGGACAAAGTTCAGTCACAGCTGTATGCTGATGCCAACACTTTCGTCAAGTCACAGTGCATGAAATCTGCAAGTTAGCATGTTCAACAGGAAATGTTTTTGCTTCTTTTTTTTTTTTTTTGAGGCAACTGACATTTCTTAAACTTTTTTCTTTTTTAATCAAGAGGGGGTCTTAGTGTGTTTGCTTCTGCGCTCACTTTCTAATGCAGGTCAGCTCAGGCAGTGTGAGCATTTGCATTGTAAATTAAATTGGCTGCTTTTGCATTTTTGCAAAAGTCCAAGACACAATACAGATGTCAAAGTACAAAGATAAAACACTGCGCAATCATGTTTCTTACTTGCTGGAGGAGGAGAAGGAAAAAGTACAGTGGGCGGACCTCTGGATGGTGTCCAGCATGTTTGTGCAAGCCAACACAAATTGCAACAAGAAGAGGCTTGTCAGAAACAGCAACTGAGCAATCCAAGAAAAAGATCCTCCAGTTTAACATTTACAGAGAGTTGAAGAATACTTTATGATACAGAGTACACTCGACAAAGAGCAATAACATATGCAGGTCAAAACGGAGAACCGATGAACATTTGGATTTTTATAAACTCATCGTTGAGCAGACTTCTGTCAAGGTTCAGTGTCTTGCAGCATTAAATGGATGTGGAAAAGTTTTCAAAGTGACACTGAAGGATCAGGTTATGTAAACACTGTAAACAGCCTTATTGTCTTACATGATTTTTATTTGTAGAACTTTAATCTGATGGTAATGACCACACTATCTAAGGATCAGGATTAACAGAAGTCAGTAAAACAAGACAAAAGGATAACAGTAAAAATAGCTTTGTGGAAAGCTGTAAGGTTGATGAATTTAGGGCCATATTTTAAATATGTCACTGGAGTCACTTCTAAATACTCACCTTTCCTTGTTTGCACAGACTGTTTGAAAGAGGACTGTATTTTTTTATTATTTTGCTTTGCTCCAAGGAGAACACAAGCTCCAAACTACAAAAAAGGTCTCTGTGCTGCAAGATGGAAAACACACTGCACATAATCTCTATTTTAGAAATTGCGTAATACGGACACTCATTGCAAAGACAAAAATGACTGAGACCATTGTGTTGATGGTTTGCAAAAAAGTAGTTTGCAGAGCAAATGTGCTTAAAATGTTTGTGGCCTTCACTCAGTCAGTTTGATGAGATGTGTCAAATTGACTAGAGCTATTGGTTGATAGAGCTGCAACTTTTTTTGTGACTTTGATTATAAAATAACTAGATTTGTACTTTAACAAGGTTGAGTCAGTATCAAGTTCTGTGGAAGTTTGAATTCAGGGTGCAGACAGACGTGGGGAACTCGGAGGTAAAATGAGAAAATAGATATAACAAAAACAAAAAACCTGCTGTGTCAGCAGCACTGACATTAGAATAACTGGTTCAGGGAAGGCATGAAGGATTAGAGCAGGGGTGCCCAAATTTTTTCCCTGAGAGGGTCAAATTTAAAATCTATCGGAGAGCTGCGGGCCCATTCCAATAATATGAAGCATCCAACAAATGTTCCTCAAAAGGACAAGCAGCCTGAGCTCCCGGCTCTGTCAATGAAAAATGTTATTCAGTGGCAGGAAGCTGCCGATGGAAGGTAGGAAGTCTGTCAAAATGAAACACAAGAATATAAATTACTAAAACTATTTAAAAAATACACAAATTAGCCACTCTACCGTATGATCTAATGTAGTGCCATTACGGTAGTCAGGCCGACTAACATTAAAGTCAATGGGTGGAATCAATGAGTGTAAACACATTGATTCTTCAAAGGAAATTTTAATATAGTAATGAGGACAGCTTGGCGGGCCAACGTAAACGGCTTGGCAGGCCAACTTTGACCCGCGGACCCCACTTTGGGCACCCCTGGATTAGAGCATAACTGGCTGTAGGAAGCACAAGCCACAAACCAGGGACAAACAAAATGAGACACAATGGGACACTAATGATAGACAAATGTCAAACTCCTGATGAGAGACATGATGATTAGGTGAGAGTGGAAGGAGCTGACTACATGAGAGGAAAAACACTGGGAAAGCTGAAAACACAAGTAAAACAGACTCAGAGAAAACTATAAAAATCACCAGAAGATAAAAGCACCACACTACACAAGCATACTGACAGTCAGGTCCTCAGGATGGACTCTTTGTTCAAACGTTTTGTCTTTTATCCAAAAGACCTTGAGTCTGAGGAGCTGCATGCAGTCTCAATCTTAGCAGCGCCTTCTCATAGTGAATCAACCAGTTTGATGGTGACAGTCAAAACTAGTTGTTCACATGCAAAAGGAGGACCACCAGCCTAATAACTGATCATTAGTGCCCTGATGGCCACTAGATTTGCACTCAGTTACAGAATGAAGGCAAAAAAACTTATTTCACAGCACACTGACCTACTTGTCATAGTGTCTTTTAGTGAATTTGAATACCTTCTGCATTGACTGGATAAAGTACTTGCACAAAGTTGTAAAATGAGCATTGGAAATAAAAATACACATTATTTGTGTTGGTGACTTTAAGGCATCTGATGGTCAATATACTACCCATGGTTTCTTTTCTACCTCTATGTCAAGGGGGAAAGAACACACCTTGAAGTTGAAGGAACTCTAAACTTTTCATATCGTGACCTTCAGACCTATATGAACAAAGGCAAGTAATCTTGTACCGTACCTGGCTATCCTTAGGATCACTTTTTTAGATCTTGAAAACTGATATGGAAGTCAAACTGTTGAGATAATATCAAAAGCTTTGTCTGTAGAATCTCCTTCTCATGTGTCAGCATTATAAAGTCTTCTCAGAAAGGTGTTCCTCATGATCAAAACTACAAATAAGAACTTGGGCGTATGTGTGTTAACTGCAGAGAACATTTCATAGCAACGACTCAAAATTATCGTGAATGCTTGCAAATACGAATACTAAATTTTGACTGCTGGATCGTTAGACCTTTGTTTATTGTTTCTGTTGTGGGTAATCAGGCAGATGTTGGACGGACACTTCAACGTGTGCTTTTGGAACTGTACAGTTCCAGTCATGGGTTCTTTTTTGTCTGGGACTGCAACGCATGCAGGAGCAGCTGGTTCTGTCAGACCTGCAATCTGTTATGTATCATCCAATTCTGTGATTCTATTTTTCTTTTAACAAATGCCACAAAAGACAATTTATTTGTTAAATTCTTGAATCCACCATTATTTCGGAAAAGTCACCACAAGCTTTAATGTGTGGAGTTTGTATGTTCTCCCTGTGCACACATGGGTTTTCTCTAAGTACTCAAGTTTCTTCCCACAAACCAAAAACAAATGTTAGCCTAAATGGTAACTCTAATTGTCCCTATAGGTGTGAGTGAGCATGTGAATAGTTATTTGTTTCAAAGGATGGACTTGCGACCTGCAGGGTTTGCTCCACCTCTCTCTCAGTGACTGTTGGACATTGGGCACCAGCAACCCCCATGACTCAGAAAGGAAGAAGCCACTACAGATAATGGATGGATGAATGGGTAGATTGCTAGAGTCTTCTCTAATTGTATGACATTATTTATGTCTTACAGAGTCAGTGTACAATCTGACCAGTCCATTACAAGGCTAGTACTGAGACAGGTGAAGTCTTCACACATTCAGTTCAATCACCAATCTACTCATTATAGATGTTACTGACCTGTGGGAGAAAGAGTGGTATATTAAAAACTTGTGCATGGGAAGAAGATGCAAAAGATTTGTGCAGCTGAAATTTAAAACAGGGGACCTTCTTCTTGTAGTGGCAGTCCTCAATTAATTAACAACCTCCTTAAAAGTCAGCTGTGATTCAGAGCTGGCTGATAACACCAGAAACATTTCTCTTGTGAATACATATCAACTTTGCACACTAAATTTGACACTTGGACAGCTTCTGTTGCCCTCAGTTTGGGAAGAAAAAAAGTCTACAGCAAAGTCAAAAATACATGACCATACTCAAACAAAGAGCCACACAAATAGACTAAAAACACCACATTATTTGTTCAATTCTTATTATTATTATTTCGGCTTTTCCCTCTTCAGGGGTCACCACAGCGAGTCATCCTCCTCCACCTCGCTCTGTCCTCTGCATCCTCTGTCCTCACTCCAACTACTTTCATGTCCTCTCTAACTGCATCCATATATCTTCTCTTTGGCCTTCCTCTTTGTCTTTTTCCTGGAAGCTGCATTTCTAATATCGTTCTACCAATATACCCACGGTCCCTCCTCTTGACATGTCCAAACCAATATTAAATGCAAAAACTGCCTAGATGAAAGAAAAAAAAAAACAGAGGAAAAAAATGCTGAGCCCTAAACTGCTGCCAAATAAAAATGATTTTTGAAAGCGTATAGAAAAATGTTATATTGACATTTCATGCAAGCGACCAGCTATTATTAAGATTCTTCCTTTACCAACCTTAAACATAAACTGTGATTCACGTAAAATAGCATTCTAATAAATAATGGTAAAAAAAAAATATTTTCAACACTACTTTCAGGCTTTATTTGTGTATAGGAGCCACACTGGCATCAACACTATTCTTTAAGGTGAAAATGTGATGTGGATGTATCTGAATAATCTTTAAAAAGTGTTTAATTGTGATTAGATTGCCATACTTCCTATCTCCGGTGTTACTAAGCAACGTCCAGGGCGTCCGGTAGTTTGCAAGGAATTCTGGGAAACGGAGGCCTGGGGGTTTAGTTGAACGACCGCCCTTTTTTCGAGCATCGAGGCTAGAACAGCGTCGTAGGAAATATTATCGCAAAGCAACTTTGTGAAGTAGTGTAACCAAACTTGGGGTACGTATACTGGTAGTTTTTACCTTATACTTCGATGTACAGTGGTTTTAATCAAGTGATATGTCTGGGAAATGTGTATTTTAATGCGCCGTTTGATGACGTAATGTTGATGGTCAAACGCGAAATGGCGAGCGTGCTAAGAGGCCCGTTAGCAATAGCATCATGGGCTTTTATTAATGTTTATTTCCCCATTATTCCAGTTTGGAAACGGTTGCACAGATTGTACTTTCTGGGTAGGTTGAGTGTTATATGCACGCTCTTCTCTGGTGTTTGAAAAATATGAGCTGCTCATCTTTGGAGCGAGCGAATAGTAGATGCTATCCAAAAGTAGATGCTAGTTTAGCAAACACGGACGGAACTGCTAGTGAAGCTATGAAGCTGTATTGACGAACACTACCATGTGCAGTATACGGAAATAATCATATTATTATTTTGTTTTTTATAGCTGTTGGAGTTACCTTGTGTACCTAATGTATTTCGTCGTTGTGTTCTTTGTTTCATGTTGTCTAATTTTTCATGTTGTCTAATTTCAACTACTGTGCTATAATTTGCAAGCCAAGTGTGTTGGGGTTACATTTTATTTTTTTATTACTATTATTTGAAAAGTATGCATGTTTATGTAAAATGGTTTTATTATTACTTAGGCTTTGACTCTGGTTTTTTTTTATTAAGATGTAATTACCAGTAGATTTGATTTTAAATGTCACCAGACGTAAATAAGGACTGTGCAGGTTTTTGTTTGTTTGTTTCCTTAAAATTTAATTTCTCAAGTCATCATTGTATTTATCTGACATTGCTTTTTCATTAAAAATTATCAACAACAAAATAGCAATAGGCAGCAGGTATGCTAGCCTGATAAAAATGGGCTCTGTCATGGCTTGATATCCCCACATTTTGATTATTTTGATATTTGAAAATATCAACCAATACAGATTTTTAGCTGACATATTTGTGAATTTTCACTTTGCAACAATGTTAGTTGGTCAAAACCTTTGGCTCTTGTTATTAATTTAAAAAAATTTCTCAAATCATATTGGTTAAAAAGAGAAACAATAATTTAGGGTCATGCAGACTCCGTTATGGGTAGGACAGCAATTATCTATTTCAGGCTCAATCATGCCATTTCGGCAGTGGATGGCTGTACTAAAATTGTATTGCTGTGATTTCCTAATAGTTTTTTTTTTTCACTTGTTTACCAATATAAATGCTTGTTTAATCCTCAGCAGAGTAAATAACATCGGGGTTTTTTTTCCTCCTTCTTCAGGGGTTTCTAACTCGCATAACATTGAATGACTGTAGATGCATCCATCCATTATATTTTACCCGCTTCTTCCATTTTGGGTCACAGGGTCGCCGGTGCCCATGTCCAGCGATCACTGTGCGAGGTACACCTTGGACGGGTTGCACCTTGGGACAATTTAGAGTTACTATCAGCCTAACATGCATGTTTTTGGTCTGTGGGAGGAAACCCGAGTACCCGGAGAAAACCCACGCATGCACGGAGAGAACATGCAAACTCCACCCAGTAAGGCCCCCGGACTGGGATTTGAACCGGCAACCTTCTCCCTGCGAGGCAGCAGCTCTGCCAGTTGTGCCACCGTGCTGCCCACTGTAGATTTAGTCGTGTGTAATTATAAATGTTGGATTTTTTTTTATTTTTATTTTTTTAGCTTTTTTTAGCATTTGCTTTTAACTGTCACTGTGCTTAGACATGGGGAAGATTTAACTAAGAAGAATTTTTTTTTTTTTTTTAAGTGTAAAATATGCCAAGTCTTCATGATAGCTTTTCCATTCATTCATGTTTGACATGGAGGCACTTGTTTGTGTTTCTGCAGAGAGAGATCAGGTGAATTATGGAGACAGAGGTGGAGGTGAATGGCAGCAATGAGTACCCAGCGCTTTACAAAGTCATGATGGAAAAACTAAATGAACAACGACAGCTAGACCAGTTCACAGACATTACTCTTATTGTAGATGGTAAGTACAGCAAAGGTCATCTCCATATTGCCTTTATCAATGTTTATGCAACTGAGCAATTCGGACAATAAATTGTTCAGACTCTGCCCAGTCAACGGTTTAGTGTAGAGTGCAAGTAGTGTTTAATTTAGATGTTTTGTGAATAGAGAATAAAATTAACTTGAGAATTCATGACATGTGACTGTGTGTACTTTTTATGTTGTTTTCTCCCGCTCTTTCTGCTGCTCTGTTCATCGAGCGAGCCAACTCTCACAGAGTTCTGGCAATTGTTTTTTTCCCTGGTTGCCCTTCCTGATGCAACCACAGATCACCGAGCTGCCACAGTCCACTGTGAGGAGCAGAGAGCTGCCATCTAGGGCACCCAGGGGAGCAGCAGGGGTGGCTAAGGAGGGCCCAAAGTGGGGCAAATGAAAGTGGAGCAGGTGTGGGTGCTTCACGTTTCCCACCCACATTTGATGTTATTGATCTGGGGATTAGAACCGGCGACCTTTCAATTGGATCATCTTCCGATTCTCTAACCTCTTATCTTTTTTTAAATGTTTTTTTGCCATTTGATAAAAATAGGCGCATCTACCATTGCAACTAGAGTATAACCAGCTTTGTAAATGTGTATCATATGGAAGTGCTTTGCAAGTTACAAGTGGAAAAAGAGCATCTACTAGCTGTGATTACAAAAGTAAAATTCCCACTTAATTATATATTTTTTTCTTTTATTTGTTTTTTGCAGGACACCAGTTCAGAGCCCACAAAGCAGTTTTGGCAGCATGCAGCCAGTTTTTCCACAAATTCTTCCAGGATTTTACTCAGGAACCTCTCGTGGAGATAGAAGGTATACTATTTTACAGTCAAGCCTCAGAAATGAAAGATTCAGTCATAACGTTACACAAAGAGGTGCAACTAACCTGTACTGTGAATGTTATTGTTAGGGTGGTAAATAATGCTCTCTAGTGGACAAGCATGGTCAACAACTCTCCTATTGTTCCTTCTGTCTTTACAGGAGTGAGCAACACAGCCTTTCACCAGCTGATGGAGTTCACGTACACAGCCACGCTAGTTATAGCAGGGGAGGATGAGGCAAATGATGTGTGGAAGGCTGCTGAATATCTCCAAATGCAGGAAGCCATCAATGCACTCAGCAAGTAAGTTTTATGTACAGCCATGATTTCTGATGAAGAATTGTTTCTGTCATGGCTGAAATTATACATTGTAGCTATTGTTAAAGTGTTAAATGGGCTGGGGAAAAAAAAAATCTACCAGAACTCAGTGATTTTCTGTTTTAATTGATCACTAATAGTTAATCTCTTGTAGGTTAAATGAAGAGTCTTCTCTGGTGGCGAAGAGCAAAGGGGAAAAGAGGAATATTGCTGAGACATCTAATGTAATTACAGAAACCCTTCCAACAGTAGAAGGGGAACAGGTTAGTATGATTGTTACTTTAAAGTATAACTCATCCCAAAGTGCTCCCTTTTTGTCCTTTGTGTTTTATTTAATTATGTGAATACAACTGACCTTTAGTTAGCCATATTTAGTGTTCAATAGTGAATTATTTTACTGCTTTACAGGTGGAGATTGATGTTGCGGGTGAAGAGTCCATTGCGGGTGAAGAGTCCATTGAGGTGATGGAGTCTGGGTTGGAGGAGGTGGTGGATGAAGCAAAGTCTGCTCAGGCAGCAGCAGATGATTCCGCTTTGGCTCTTCTGGCTGACATCACTAGCAAATACCAGCAAGAGGAACCAGCAATACAGGTGATTAAAAAGGAAAAACGTAAGGGATACATTAAATTTTGTGGATGTAATATTTCGTGTGAAAGTACTAGCTACAAAATATTTGTGCTCAACAGGATGTTTTGTATCAGGAGGAAACGGTAACAGCCTCCAAGGTCCTGGAGAATGTTGAGTTTGTTGAGGTCCAGATTTCCCAAGTAGACAACACGTTTCGCTGCAACAAATGTGACCGCAACTTTAAACTATATTACCATCTTAAACAGCACCTAAAAACTCACCTGAGCTCAATGGAGAAGCCCCATGTGTGTAGCCACTGTGGTAAGGCCTACACACGGGAAAGCGCCCTGAAGCAGCACATCAGCACGTTTCATTTCGATACAGAAGAACTGTCTCAAAACAGCCAAAGATTTCTGAAGAAAGTGCATGTCTGTGAATACTGCAAGAAGCACTTTGACCACTTTGGCCACTTTAAAGAGCATTTACGCAAACACACTGGTGAGTTTTTTTGTTGTTTTTTTTTAACGAAGCTGACTTGTTCTTTTTCCTATTTGTGTTTGCACTTTGACATCATTTATTAGGTTTGTTTAGCAAACAGGTGATTTACATGATGGTTGGCTCTTTGTCCTTTTTTAGGTGAAAAGCCTTATGAGTGTCCGGACTGTCATGAGAAATTTGCAAGAAACAGCACCTTGAAGTGCCATATGGTAGCATGTCAGAATGGGGCTGGAGCCAAGAAAGGACGCAAAAAGCTATATGAATGCCAGGTACAGTTCGTTCAGCTTCCACACATTCAATTCAAATTCAAAAATACTTTATTAATCCCAGAGGGAAATTGTATAATGTTAACATGTTGCTCAGTTCAGTGTCATTAGTAAGAATTTTATCTCAATAATGTTTAAATATTTGGCAACTTGTTCTGAAAGAAAGTAGTCCATATAAACTTACAGAACAAAGAGCAAAGATAGTTAAGAGCACCTTCCATTTTGCTATCATATAGTGACTGTTATTGTGGTATAGTGCTTACAGTGTTCTGCATGGAAAAACATTTGCAGTGTTTAAAATTAAATTACTACCTTATTAAATGTTGAGTGTTTGCAGTCACCAGTTAATGTTTATTGATTTTTTTATTTTATCCATCTATAAATCATGTTTTTGTCAGTATCTATTCAACTATAATAATAGATTTAATTTACGGGCACCTTTCAAAACTCAAGGTCACCTTACAGAAATCAAAATGAAAAATCATTGTAGTCAGAATGTTGAAGAGTGCTGAAAAACACTGGCTGCATTAAGATGTTTAAACAGTAAAACACAGTTTTGCTAAATAAACTAAAGTGATCTCAGTTGATTTAAGTTCTTTCTGCTCTGTGTTCCTCTAAAAACATTCAGGTTAAATCTGAAGAATTTACCATTTACATGAGATAATCTCTTTTTTTCTTCTTTCATAGTAATAATAGTGTACTTTTAGTGGGGAAAAACGTGTTTTCAGGTAAAATTGGATTTAATTTGACTATAAACAGTCAATTATCAAAACTTTTTCCTCGGGATTCAAGGACATATTTCAACCTAATAGCAAAGCTGAGGGATGATGTCAGGATTATTTTTCACTTCAGAGCATTACTTGAAGGAATGTAAATAGTCTGCCGCCTTACATACGCTTCGCTTTAGGCAACTTTTTTTTTTTTTTTTGCAATTTGTTCATGCTTAGAGTATGATTTGAGTATGACTCTTAGCTACTACTACACCAAATTTTAGCTCCACATATGTCAAGTTAAATTTGGGGGAGTGCGGTAGAGGTGCAGAGGTAAGTGAATGTGAATATGTGATTGATTTGGTGGGAAAGGTGAAGCACCCACACCTGCCTCCACCCTCATTTGCCCTACTCTGGGCTCTTGAGCAAGACCCTTCACCAACTTCTGCTCCACACAAGTGGGCTGCAGCAGCTCAGTGGTTGCCAAAATCAGTCTGGCGTAAAAACAATTGCCAAAGCTTCATGCAAGTTCACTCGCTGTGGCGACCCCTGAAGCAGGGGGCAATTGGAGGAAAACAGTTTGTAAAATTAAAATTTTAATTTTTGTGTTTCTAATACTAAGTATCTGAGGGGGGTCATCTTGAATTAAGCTGACTCCAAAAGTTAATCAGTTGTTTATGCCATCCAATAAGAGTTTTTTTGTTAAAACCTGTGCACTAGTTTTATTCAAAATTTTGCTAACAGACGTATAAAACAAGCAGCAGTTATTGACAAAAGCTTAAGGTTGTTGCTGATTCTAAAATTTATTATTTTAAGAATAATTTTTGTTTAGTTTTACATGCAGGATTTGGTTAGATTGGGCATTATAAAATATTATTTCAGTGTTAAGTCCACAATAATAATTTTTGTTGTTCACCTTTGTCTCATCCAATCGTCTCCACTAGGTGTGCAGCAGCGTCTTCAACAGCTGGGAGCAGTTCAAGGAGCATCTCATGTGCCACACCGGAGACAAGCCTAACCACTGCACCGAGTGTGACGTATGGTTCACTCACCCCAAAGAACTAAAGGTCCACCTCAAAGACATGCATTCAATTGAGGATAAGACAGCTGAGCAGCTTGTCATCTCGGACTCTGCTGCATCTGCCGCTCTCGCCATCGCCACGCAGAGCATAGAGGGAGCCGAAACGGTTCTGTTGGAAGATGGCATCCAGGTCGAGCATCTGGAAATGGGCACTGCAACTGTCGTGGTGGAGGACGGAGTTGAAGGGATGTGTGAGGAAGATGTGGAGAGGTTAAAACAGGCTGGGCTGCATATCCAGGTGGTGCACGTGACCACGACTGACATTGACGGGCAGCAGGTGGTGAACTCTCAGGTGGAAGTAGAGATGGACAGTGAGATGGTGAACCTCGAGGAAATAGAACAAACAGTGGTCGTATGAGGATGTAAGCACTGGCTTTGTGTATCTGAAGAACTCCCTTCCAGTACTGAGGAGCTGAATTATTCAACTGTAGACATTTTATTTTTGTAATGAAGCCCTGCATGAGGAAAACGTCATCTCAGTATGTGTAGCTGTCAAACTGTATAGATTCACACTTCCCTCTTTGAATTCTGAGGTTTTCACCTATGTAAATATGTATTTATTTAAAGGCTGTTTTCACAAATTAATTTTCACACGCTTCACACACTGTATTGTTTATTTGGTTCTGTGAACTGGGATCAATTGCCGTAACGCTTCATGAATAAAATGTTGCAGCAGCTCGTTACAAATCTGATGTATGCTGCCATTTCTCATTTGGATTTTTTCCTTTGAAATTATTCTCATACCATCTGTGACATTATTTGAGGTACAATTATTAAATAAAAAGGTGTTTTTTCAGAACAATTTGCATTTCTGTACCATTACGGTAGGTATCATCTGTAAGAAACCAAATCCTTAATACATCATAAATCAAAACGACTTGTTTTTTTTTATAAATGGTTTACAGTAAATAATGCCTGTGGAGTGGCAGACTGGGCTGGTGGTTCCCATTTTTAAAAAGGTGGACCGGTGAGTTCCAAATCCAACGATCATGGGGTCACACTTCTCGCCCTCTCTGGGAAAGTTTACTCCATTGTTTTGGAAAGAAGGCTCTGATCAATTGTTGAACCTCAGGTTCAGGAGGAACAGTGTGTCCTTCATCCTGGTCGTGGAACAGTGGATCAGATCTTCACCCTTGCAGAGTTTCTAAAAGGGTCCTCGGTTTGTCTCAGGTCTACATGTTTTGTGGGCCTGGATATGGTTTGTGACCATGTTCCTCAAGGCATTCTGTGGGGGAGGGGGGTGCAGGAGTATGGGATGCCTGATCCTTGCATAACCAATAGCTGGAGCAGTGTCCACATTGGCACAAAGTCAGACATGCTCTCAGTGCAGGTTGGACTCCACCAGGGCTGTCCCTTCTCTCCATCCTGTTTGTGATGTTCATGGACAGGATCTCAAAACACAGTTGGAAAGAGGAGGTCTGGTTTGGGAACCTCAGGGTCTCTGCTTAATGTGGATGATGTGATTCGGTTGGCCTCTTCATGCTAAGACCTTCAGCGTGCACTGGTGCAGTTCACAGCTGAGTGATGCGGCAAGGATGAGAGTTTATAAGTCTGAGGCCATGGTTCTTGACCAGGAATGGGTGTAATGCTCCCTCGTGGTCAAGCGGGAGACTTTGCCTCAAGTGGGCGTTTTGTTCATTAGTGATAGGATTGAGCAGGAGATGGATTGATGGATTGGGACCTCGTTCTCAGTAATGAGGCCATTGCGTTTGTCGGTCATGGTGAAGAAAGAGCTGTGTTGAAAGGCAAAGCTTGCTATTTACTGTCTGTCTGTTCCGACCCTCACCTATGAGGTTTAGGTCATGACCAAAAGAACAATATCCTGGATACAAGTGGCCGAAATAGACTTCCTTTGCAAGGTTAGAGCCTCAGCTTTAGAGCAGGGTGAGAAACTCCATCATCCAGGGGGAGCTCAGAGTAAAGCTGCTGCTCCTCCACATCGAAAGGAGTCCGTTGAGGCGGGTCAAACGTGATTAGGATGCCTCACAGATGCCTCCATTTAGAGTTTTTTTGGGCACGTCCTGCTGGTAGGAGACCTGGGGGGAAACCCAGAAAGCTCTGGAGGGATTATGTGTTTTTGCTGGCCTGGGAACTCCTCAGGTTCCCCGAGGAGGATATATAGGAATAGAAGATAAAAATACTTTTTCAGGCTTAATAGAAAAACTACAGTTGAGGAACAGTATCTGAAGGTCATGTTCTTAGGAAGTAAAAAAGTGACACTGTTCATCCTTTGAGTTTAGTGATTTCATACCTGAATTAATTATAAATAATTCAGTTTACTAAACAAAACTAGATTACTCTAAACATGGTCAAATGAAAAGACTGGGCTGAAAATAAGTGAAATAGAAGCCATGTCCAAAGAAATGCTTCAGCCCTTCAAAAAGCAACAACAAAAAAAACCGTGTACTGCTAAAAACTTCTTTAAAACCACACCTCAGAGCAAATATGATTTAATATTTTTCAGCTGGATAACGAACAAGACCTAAGAATTTGTCTGAATCAGTCCATAATTTTGGAAAATGACTCTTTTTAGAGTTGTGTTTTTGGACAGAAATACCACATCTGAATGTGTTTATGTTGAAAGCTATGTCAGGACCAATATATGCATTAAAACAGACATCTAGTTTTAAAGTATTAATCATGTACCAATCCGCGTGCTCCCCTGACCCCACGGTGAACCTCTGTTGTCTGCACGCGGGTTCGATTACCTTCCACATCCCGCCGCCTGTTGGACAGCTCCTGTGGTCTAATTTGGTCCTAATGCTGTCTTCTTATTGGCTGCGTGACGCACAGCGACCGCCTTACGTCGCTTTTGATTGGCTGATTCGCCCGCTCGTCAAAACGCAACAAAAAAGGATTTACTTGACAACGGTCTGAGCCGGGGAGCAGCTGCAGCAGAGAGCCCAATGTCACCGGGCATCAGAGGGGATGGATTTGGCAGCGAGGTCGGTAAACACAGTCGCAACGACACCATGAAGATAACGTTCTCTCCCAAGTAAGATTAGTAACGTGTAGGATAAGTTATCGTCTGTTTTTGTAGGATTGTCAAACGGAAATCCTCACGGAGAATGGCCTGCTGCTGCGGGGGATACCGAGTGTTCATATAATTAGTTGGGCAATTAGCAAACCATTTTAGGATTTATTTGTGCTAAATAAGGCTTTACTTAAAAAAAAAATCAGATAATGCTCGAATAAATTTTAATTCTACAAATGTTTAATGTATACATCTACTTGCTATTTAGCTAATCTCACATTATAGAGATGGGAGAGGTCATACAACAAACCAAAAATTACCCGAAAGTAAAGCTCGTAGTTGTTCATTTTGTTATGTTGTAGTGTTGATAGAGCCACCTACAGTACAGATCAGCTGGTAGTAACACACCGGAACCAGGTGGTGTAACCATGGAAACCAAAAACTTCTTTTCCTGACCAGGAAGTCTGCCTTTATCACCTGTTGCACTGTTCAAAATGTTAACTGCGACTAAACATGCATACATTTAGTTCTTTTTGTAAAACAGCAACAAATCAGAGCAAACTTGAATTCTGAACCTTGTATGTTAGTAAATCCTAAGAAAGCACTAGCTTTAGATGTTTTTATTATGTGCACATAGTGTTGGTTAAATTCAGCAGCTTGTGTTTGGCAAAAGGAAGAGGCAAAAAATAAATCTTGAGGTCAGATAACTCATATGATGCTCCGCGGAGAATCCTTGAATGCACTAAACACACACAAATCAATTTAGCTTTTCTAGAAAGAGAAACAATTAAGCAGAAAAGTTGCGCAATAAATAAAAAGCAAAAAATTAAACAAAACCCAGTTACGCTGCGCTTAAGGTTGCTGAATATTTTTCCATTCATTTTAAAGCAGAAACAAACAAACCAAAAAATAATTTTCGGTTTCTTTTTATGTCCACCTGCAGGAAATCGGTTCCTAATTTTATTCTTTTGATGATCAATCAGCCACATTGCATGAAACATTGTGCTTCATGTGGTTTTTCTTTGAGGCAAGCCTCTTTGATGTTCAGTGGACAAAAAAACAAACAAACCCTCAAATAGCCCTGTAAAGCATGGAAGAAATAGATTTAGACACACTGTATAATATAATAATAATAATAATAATAATAATAATAATAATAATAATAATAATGTGTATGTATTGTCGTCATCATTGTATGTTCCCATATATACAATGGAGAAATTGTATTTGCATTTACCTCATCCACCACCAGGTGGGGCAGTGGGCGGCTGTTGGAGGTGCCCGGGGAACAACTGGGGATGTGGTGTCCTGCTCAGAGACACCACGAGGTGTGCAATGACCGGGGATTGAGCCCGGGACCTTTGGGTCCCGAGTCGGTTGCCCTGCCCCTACACCATCTCGGCCCCATGATAATATCCACATATTGTTATGATACCACTAACAGCTAATGGCAGAACAAAATTTTCGCTAAGCGGATTAGTGTTTTCACTAACTTTGGAAACCGTTAGCAGAATTAGCTTCCGCTAAATTTGTTTTCACCAGCTTTAAGTCCAAAATTCTCAAGCTTGTTCCTGTCTGTTGTGGGCGTGTCTCGAAAAGACGATTTGGCACGCTATCGGCTTACTATGTGCGCACGTGACAAAATATGATTGGTCAACTCAGGTTCAACTGGAAAGAGTTGAAAACGTGTGATGCAGAATGGGTGACAATCGTCTTAGCGGTTTGCCGATAGCTTCCGCTATTTATTTATTTTTATCTGTTGAGCGGTTTAGCATTAGCAAAGCTAACTTTTTAGTTAGCGGGATATGGGTTGCGAAGCTGACTCTTTAGTTAGCTGTGCCACCACTGGTATTATGCAGCCTATGTACCGTGTCTTAGCAGCTCTCTGCTGTATTACTTGTACTGTGTGCTCTGTATTGCCAGGTATTGAACAATATACAGTTGATCTGCAGAAATGGGTGGTATTTTTTAACAGTTATAAAAAAATATTTCCCAAAAGTGCATTTTTGCTTAACCATCAAGTTTTAAAATCTTTTATTTATGAGATTTAGCTCATTTTTGGTGACAGTACAAAAACAGAACCCTGTAAAACCTCTCCCCTGCTCACATTTTTATAAACATATGCAAATGAATCTTTTTTTTAATCCATTCTCAGTGCTTTGTATAGACATTTGTGCAGAGTTTTTGTGGACTATGTTCACTTGTATGCCAGGAACAAGGGATTTAAAGATCAGCGTCTTTTTTTCTTCTCTTGAAAACGTGAAATATTTGCTGCATAGATTCAAGAGAAGCCCGTCTCTCGGTTCCTCGGTTCCATAGACTTCATTGTTGTGGCCTTTTCACTGTTGAAGTTTTTATTCTTTTTCAACTGTGCATCTCAATTAACACACTGGGCAGTATTGTACAGAGAACTCTATCTGTATTTACATGAGTATGCTTATGTTTAACTGAGGGGAGGGTGTGAGAATGAGGAAAAAAGAAAAAAATGGATAGAAACAGAGGCAGTTTGATGGAACAGATATAATAAAAATAATAGTTATTACTGAGAACAAACTTGCCTACATACATCCACTTTGCAGCTGTTGATGCTTTCTTTCGTCTTGTCTTCTTAAATACACTACATG